AATCACGTTTAATGTAACCTAGTAAAGTTAACCAAAATAATACTTGTCTCACAGACATAATAACAAAAGTATCTTCTAAATTACTTTTTAGTCTTTTAAATCACATTTAAAAGTTAACAAACAGTAAAAGCTTAAAGTTAATGAGGTATTGTTTTGTATCTAACTACCTAATGGTGTCGATTCTGGCGTGATTCTCTAAACTTAAAACTAAATTTAACATCAATCTCTCCTTTTCATTCCGTATAGAGAATGACAAGGATACACTATTGTGAAATTTAAGTTTAGGTTTAGAGAATCGTGTCAGAATTGACACCAATATCACATTTAGCTTAAATGTAAATCAAAACTTTTCTTCTAAACAAAACTTTTCTTCCAAAATAAAACTTTTTTCTTAACTTAGATAGGAACCATATATTATTTAGGCTTACAAATCAACCATTATATAATTAATAAGGCACTATATGAGATCTTAGGGTACATAAAGAGATCAGTTCAACGAAATCAGTCTATATTATTAGTTGTCAGTGTAAGTTTCTGGCAAGTTCATCCAAAAATGACGCCTCGTCTCAGGCATCAGAGGCACCAATTTTTTAATTATGTTTTGTAGTCGGTCTTTTGCTATTCCTCTTGGTGCAACTTTTACCGAAGAGTTTGGCAGGGATTTATTTTTTTTCATTTTTACCTGTAGAAAATCGAGTTCTTTCCATTCATTTTCTACGTGGCTTTCTTTGTATTTGATATTGAATGCCCCTCTTTCAGCCTTTACCGTCATAATATTGTGTAAATATACTCTCGGTGTCATATTTTTCAGTTTGTGTTGGGAGGAATAATCCTCATAATTGAAAAAATCTGTTACCTGCATAATTTTAACAGTATTTTTTTTTGAATTGGACATCTTGACGGCATCTACGAAGTCATCCATGTCATACACTTTTCCCTTTTGTTTTAAAGCCTTTTCCACTTGATGGTGGAAATGATCTGCAGACATGAATGTATGCCCCGGTTCGAAAAACTTCATTGTTATGGAATTTGCACCCACCAGATTGCTGTTCACTATGTTTACAAGAAAACACATAAGCGCCCAATTCTTGTTCTGGGCGGAACAGTTATCAGCCCACAAGACAAAGTGTTTGACATCACGATGATGTATGAAAAACGACCTATATGCGGATATAATGTCTTCTTGGCGTCTTCCACTGACTGTTTCATTCCAAAGTACAGCATATGGTACATGTGGCCCACTAGTACTACTGCCAAGAGGAACGAAGCTTTCGTTAAACGCTATTATACGAGGACAAAAGATGGCGGCCTTAAACTGGTCCATTCTGGGAAGCTGTATCACTTTCTGCAAATCCACAGAAACGTAAATGCACTGTGCGTCGGAAGAAGCTTGATCTTTATCTTTTTGGTATTCTTGTCGGGATTCGGTGTACCGTAGTTTGTGTACTTCATAGTCACTTATTTTAGCGCAGATTTCACAATCAACTTCAGAACACCCTTCATGTGATTTAAATAAAGCACAATCTTCACATTCCTCATTACCAAGGTGAGCAAATGAGATTTTCATATCCTTGACAACTTTACGATACGTCTCCAATGATACAGCTGTCTCAGGATTAATGTTCATGAAACACTGATGCATTAATGTGATGTTTAGATCGCTAGGCAGATATAGCCTTTTGGGAGCATGTTCACGACGGTAATGGGATATCAATGGATTAAAACTCGCAATATGGTCTTTAATAATGTCCTTATCGATTACGTCTGTGCGTTTATAGCCTCCCCGCTTATCTTTCTGGTCATCAATGTCTTTGCTGAGTGCGGTGTAGATGTGCCTGGTATTTTGAGCATTGTAACCCAGCGTCGTCAAAAAAAATGGTCTACATACTTCAGTTCTTTCACGATTTTCTGTGTAAAGATAGTAAAAGTGAGACACGGCTCGATCTTTTTTCTTTTCATCGTTCTGTGTTGTCCGTGTCCTAACATTTCGTGACTCTACGTGGCCTTTTATAAAAAGTCCTCTTGATTCCCAAGTTAAATTTATATATTTATCGTGTATTTTACTTCTCATATCTTCTGTAAATTTAGTTGTACATTTTTTTCGACATTTATCATTACATGGTGGTTTTATTGACAGTTTTTCATCTGAAGCTTCTTTTTTTTGCCTTTTTCGTTCATGAAGTGACTCTTCAAACTTACGCCTCTTCCTCGGCAAACCCAATTTCGTCAATCCTTTTTCACACTCTGGTACATTAGATGATGTTTCGATATCGCCCTTTTCACTAGCAGACTCCACAAAATCAGTATCCTCCATTTGATTCTGCATATTTTGAGTATCCACATTTTCTACTTCTATTATATCATCATCCGTTTCTATCACATTATGGTAAGTTTTAAAAACTCTTTTGTTGTTATTCACTTCGTGAACATTCCATGTATCTCTTCTCGCTCTCTCGTCATGTATCTCAGCATTAACTATTATACTAATCTGTCTTGTTTCATTGCAGTCGTATGATGAAACCGAGTTAGTCTCTACAGAGTCAGTATGTTTGCCAGCATCAACTGTGACGGTCTTTGGTACTATTACATTAAAGTTGCCCGATGAATCTGAGTTGTAATCTGTAGATTTAGGGTCATAGTCCTTATCTTTGACGCTATCATCGGAGTCAAATAAATCAGTGGTGTTAGATCTATTATCATCGTCAGAGTCTGGAAGGTTTTCATAACATATCAAAGATTGACGAGTAGATGGCAAAGTGTCTTCATACATATTGTTTGTAAAAGATGATAGATCAAGATCTTCAACTATATCAAATGAATTGCAGTATTCATTTTGATTTTCAAATATTGCTGGGAATTTGTTAAAATCCAGAGGGCGAGACCATAGTTCATTAAGGTCTGTTAAGATTGGACTTTTTTGAGCAGCTTGTTTATCATCAGAAGTATTCAAAGAGTTTTTATTTTTGATAGTATTAGCTGGCTTCACTCGAACAAGAGACTCTGATTTTTTTGTATTTGAAATAGCCAACGCCATAATTTTATCTTTTCTTGACATTGTGCTGTAAACCTACAAACAAAACACAGGGTTAATTTGAAACTTTAGTAATAAAACGGAACAACATTAACTTTATTCCAAAGAAACTTTGAATTTTTTTGTTACAGCGGCAATAAAAATAGGTACTATCATTGTTCTTGAGATATAGCCTGGCGACAGACAGACAGACGGACGGACGGACAGCGAAGTCTCATTAATAGGGTTCCCTTTTTATTTTATAATACTATTTAATTTAGATTTCTAACGTTAAACGAATACCAATACTATTAACTCAAAAGAGGTTATGATTTTCGTAACTTCGGAAGATGGCCGTCATGTAAATTTACCTTATTTGGTTACGAAATTACTCCCTAAATATTAAAGTTACATTATTAATGCACCTTATTTTACGTTAGTCTAAGTAAATCCAAATAAACACGTAACTTACCGCGCAAATTTCGTCGCGAAACACGTGGACACATAACCTGCTCGATGGGACCGCGCCCCGCGACTAATTGGTCTTCGCTGCTCAAAATGTCAACTTACTCCTTACTCCTCACCCCGCACCGAGGTTATTTACTACGCATCAATGCGATAACTTGGATTCATATTGCAGTGTGTTTGGTATTAACTATACCGTTTGTACCCTATCGCCCTAAGCATAAATGCAATAACTTTATTTTATCGCATTATTATTAAGTAAAGTTTTCAAAACTATTATGACAATCCTTAACATAACTGTTATAACTTTACTTATTGCGTTCATAATTCGGGGTTGGTCAAACCCTGCCATGAATTTTACTAAGTATTAGAGCGATAACTGTACTTATTACGTTTATGACTAGTAATGTGTTAAAACAAATTATAAACCCTACTAATTATAATCATGACAACTATACTTATTCCAGTTATTGTAAGTAAAAGATCACAAAGTATTTTATAAATTACTTACTAAAAATGGAATATCAATACTTATTACACATATTGTTAGTAATGTTGCTTAATAGTATTACCAATTCAAATATAACTAAAGTTATAGCGTTCTTTATTAGTAAATAACAAGTTAGTATCTTAGATATTGCAGTTTTGATAAATAAAAAAAGATGTTTACGTAACAGATACGTTAAAACTGTCTAAGAAGAAAATATAGATCTCGTTACGCTCTTCACGAATATGTATATAACTCAATTTGACCCAAAACTCGAGTTGTTGCACTTTGCGTTAGGAGGGCAGTAAAAACCAGCTTAACAAAAATATACATTATATGTGTTACTTATTAAAACTGCAATAAGTAATTAGTTATTGTGCTTAATTCAAGCGTTGATATAAGAGAACAAACTATAATTCCTAAACATAATCACAATATCTTGATTTACTAACAATAAATGCGATATGTAGTTTACTTGTTACAGTTATGGTATGTAATAATATCATGCATGTATTGGGACTATCCTAAGCAGAAGTGAATTCATTCATTTTTTAGATATATATAAATAAATAAATAATAATAAAGTATTAACAAATAAGCTCAGTAATATTTTCTACTTTATGGTCAAGGTTTTAAGTCAATAGGATGCGTAATGATGGAGATATCGTCAAAACAACTTAAAAATCTTTAACCGCGTTTTTCTCGAAAGTAGCTTGAACCTAGTTGTTGCACTTTGCGTTAGGAGGGCAGCATATTCTTCGTTTATTAATAAGGGGGTTAATGTAATGCCCTTATTCCTAGTCACAATGATTGCCTCCACTTCAGATTTTTATTCCCATTTGCCTCCGCTGGCAATAGGGATGATGACTATTTTTTTTTTCTTCGTTTATCAGGTAGATTATCAAAAAATAATGGACACGTATTTTTTCTTTGGGCAATCAACCAAAAAATGACAAAGTTATAGCGCGTCAAAGTTTGGGAGTTGGGGCTCGTGACGTCACTTTTGAGTGAATTTTCACTAATAAGTGTACTCAAACGTGACGTCACGAGCCCGTACTCCCAAACTTTGACGCGCTATAACTTTGTCGTTTTTTGGTTGATTGCCCAAAGAAAAAATACGTGTCCATTATTTTTTGATCATCTAACTGACGGACTAAATAGAATTTCGTTTACTGTACCCCGTCATCATCCCTATTCTTACGGGGGCGACAGGGCATAAAGGATCTCGCGGCTTCGCGCTAAGCAGCTTAGAGAATAAAAAAAAAGGGCATAAAGGATCTAATGCCGCCTATTGACCGAAATTCGATATTTTTAGTGTCAAAAGAGTAAACTTTTTCAAGGTCATTGTAATTTGTTTATTTTGTTATTTCATGTATTAATTAAATATTTCTCTTTCTTTCCAGCCAGCGAACCGTGAGAAGATGATGTCCAGATCCGCATTCGCTTTGGCTGCAATAGGTCTAGGACTCTCCACGTTCAGCGTCCGCCAGATGGTGCTTCACCAAACCAGGCGAATCTAAACCAAGCAGGAAACGACAAGCTCCAACACGGAAATAAGATTGAAATAAACTAAACAAATCTTATACCAACCATGTTCATGTGTTTTACCATTTTTCACCTACGTGCGGCGGGTGCGAGAATGGCAACACTTTTAGTTATTTGATGTTCGATTGCTATTTATTTGTTTGTCTATGGAACGGTATGGAGAAATTAACTGTCCGGAAAAAAACAGAATAATAGGTATTAGGTATGTGTGATATAGAAAAAGAATAGTGATTTATTTTATAAAGTAACTTTTTTTGTTGTGAACGCGAACGAATGTAAAGGTAGTGAAATTTTACCACCTTGCTAGATGATGAAATTGCTTTAGAGATAAGTTTTAAGTCGTGTATATGGTTGATTCTCATTGGAAATAAATCATGAGAATAAGTGAGTGCGGTACACTTAAACGTCTGTATTGTGATGGAAACCAAATAAAAATTGTAACGCAACTTAACTTTGTATTTTTATTTTGAATGGTCAAAGATCAGCCCTGATTTGAATTACCATGTGGAAATATGATCTTTCTCGTTAGCAGTACTACTACTTCAAGACTATGTTTAAAATGACCACATTACTGATACAAATATTGAAGAGACCACTGGATATTCAAATTGCCATGATTTGTTTTATACAAGGCGCAACAAATTATATGATGTTAAGTGTGAGTCCAGTTGGGTACCTAGTTGATGAAAAACTTACAGCTCCAGCCATATTAATCCCTACTTGTTCTACTAATAGAACACTTTGTTGTACGACTCCTTTCTGTTCAAGTGGTAGAACACATAGGATGTTTTGTCCTATATGTTCTATTGGTAGAACACATGGGAAAGATACGCCGCGCCGTGCAGCCCTGGAATCACCCGTGGTCCTACTAATTTAAGTGCGAACAAAAGATTTGTCTACTAGTGGGACCAGGATGAAGACCCATTCCTCGTGGTTCTACTGCGAATTTAAATTATTAAATTTTAAATGCCTAGTTCCTCTTAATCCTACTCCGCTATAATCACTGTTGCAATTATTATTGAACATATAAACTTTCTGGTCTATTTATTTATTTTACGTTTACACGTTACTGTGACCGCCCGTTCAGCAAAAGACGCAGGTTCGATTCCTGTCTGCAGCATTGCCTTGTTGAATTTCTTCTAGTAAAAAAATGTTTAGATTTTGTTTTTATTACAAATATTATACTTCAGACTTCACATAAGGAAACATGAAAATGAATCATTACGAATAGAATTACGAGGAAACGGGTCTGGAAAAGGCTTGCCAGATGGCCGGGAATCCGGGATTGCCCCGGATTTTGCGTCTTGTCCCGTGTACAGTAATTGGACCTTATTGTCCCGGATTTATAAAACACTAGTTTTTTCACAAAATAAACTAGTAACGAATAATACCGCTGCCGCTGGCCTGTTTGATGTTTTGCAAGTGTCAAAAAATTGATTGACGGTAGCCTTTTAAAGGTATTCGTTACAGACCTATATTTTGATTTGACGTTTTATTTCCATATAAGCCAGAATTTGGCAATCCTTGTCTAGAATCTAACCGACCAAATGAGAAAAACAAAAGGTCCATCAAGGTCCTCTCGAAATAGGACTTGGAATTTAGTCGGGAACAGCAGATAAAGTAGTGGAATAAAATGTTGAAATTTAGAACCCATAAGCATAGTTGTAGCTTACGGCTAGTGTTGCCAGGAGTCCCGATTTGTATAATGTCCCGGTTAATCAAAAAATGAAATTTAGGTAATTATTATATTACTATACTTGCACTAATAGTTTAAAACGACTTAAAAACTTAAAGACTTAAAAACCCCTTGTTCTTTGTATAATGTCCCGATCTGCAACCCTAAATGATTTTACCTCATGTACCGATTTAACACCAATTGGACCTGGCAATACTACTTACGGCTACAATCAGGAGACTTCATTCCAGTTATCTGAAGTTGATTGTTATTTTCTTTCGATAATAATTAAATGAGGCACGTGATTTAATGAAGCATTAAATTTGTTTCTTATTACGGTTGTTTAGTAGCATCATTACGGGGTAATGGAGTCCGAAGGGCCGAACTTATATTCCCATATTATTAATTTAGCAATACTGAAGCCTAAGCAAGAATTTTAACAGCTCCGAAATCATATCGTCATCGTAAAATAATATTTTGTTATAATATATTGTACAGAAAGAGCCAGTTGTTGTGCTCCGGTAGGGGCAGTTTTTTCCAATTTTTATTTCAACAATAAAACAATTTATTCTAATCATTCAACGTAATTTATTAAACATTCTGCATCATTAAACAATACAATCATGAAATATGTACTTAAAACTATTGACTACTGATATCGAGTCACTAAAAATAATTAGAATAAAAGTTATATCAGGTGGGTGTCGAACCTGCAAACAGACAGAGAACAGATGCCTAACCAGTCTAGAATCAAAACTTTTAAAGTTAGCACCTTCAAAAGATTACAACCATAAATAAACCTCCTCGAAAATAATTAAGAGAAAATAGCCAAAAAGAATTTTGACAATTTTACTTGGCAGTTCGAATGAAAAATCATCAAACCATACAGAATAACACTTTACAGTTTTTCATTACCTACCTGAATTTGCTCTCAAACCCATGAGAACAAATGTAGATAGGTAATGAAAAAGGTAAGTAGGCAACACTGACCATAGACAGCTTAGTAATAGGAAATTGATTTGCTTAAAATCTACGGGATACATTCGCTTTCAAACCTTTTAAAACGGACTATACTATTTAATAATATGATATCAATTTCATTTGAAGTAAAAAAATAATATCAGATTTCTACAGCATTAAAAAGCTCATCCGAATTTTCTTAGTATTATATAAAGCTTAAAGTCCTTTGGATTAAGTTTACATTGAAACCACATTAACAGATATTTAACAACGGATGGGTATTTTATAATTACTATTTTGTCATAACTCTTTGACGCATGCATTATAAATAAGATCTTATACATCATCTAAGGTGACTTTTAATGTTATAATGCCTTAAATTGTTTTTGACGACGCGGTCATCTTACGGAGCTCCGTGGATCGTGCAATTTACCTTTTGGACAGGTTTCGGTCATGCTTTTGCTCGTATTGTTGTATCTAGGGAATTTAATATCGTTGAATTTTTTTATAATTATTAAATGGTTGGCTGGGTTGAAATTTAGGTATTTTTACTTGCCATACCAGTCGGCCTCCCCTTACCACCCGAAATATTTAGTATTAGTGTAAACCCATAATTATCTTTGCAATGTAGCAGACCATCAACTTAGATATTATACTAATATCTATAATAAGTTTTGACCTACTGAATAAAACCAAATTTTGATAAGTACAATTTCGTAAGTTATCTAACTAATTTTATAACTGTTGATTGTACACGAATCTCATACCAAAGCAGGCGAACATAGTGCTAATAAATTTCTAAAAATCTTAATGATAAGTACCTTATTTAATTATACTTAACTGCGTCACTAGTGCCTAATTGTGCGGTACATTTGCAAATAAAACCGAAATGTCAGTAATTTTATGAAATACTTAAACTAACATGTAACTTGATAATTAGTGGATTTTTGTGTCAAAGAAAGAAAATCTAAATCTTCTTCAAAACTATTATTCTATTTATTGATAGTAAAAATAATTATTTTTTTATTTGCTACTTATACCTATTTACAACAGCAATACTTTTATTTTACATCTAAATACATTCTGGTTATTTTTTATACTACTATTTCCAATAGCACTCATTTTGTCAGGAAAATAGGGGCAATTGGGAATAGTTTGAATCAAATGCAAAACAAGACACGCACTGTACTGTTTACGTCCTCATATTAATAACAAACCATCTTTTCCCGGAAAACACTTTTACACACTCAAAACGTCTTCGGAAAAATGTCTTGACCCCGTTTCACGTTAAAGCAAAGGATCTTTCAAGGACTTCTAAAAACCGTAGAAATGTCCTTGAAGACTTCGCGCTATGGTCTCTTGAAGTATTTCTCGTCGACTCGTTTGGCCAGAGAGACTAAGGACTCATGCCTCCTTACAGCTTCCGCTAGTTTGCGACACGGTAGTCTTGTTGTGATAATAGTGAAGACATGACCGAATACCAGGGCGTCTAGCTCCGTTGGCCTAGAGGAATAAGAGTAAAATATACAAAAAATTGTTCTTTGGCTACAAAAGAGCAGGTTCAAAATCAATAATCCAGAAATTGATCAAAACAAACTATATTTAAATCGATTTATAAAGAGCGAAATAAGCCTAAGTCACAGACCAAAATCCATTTTGTAAATGCTTTAGACTGGCAAAGTACGCATGAAAAATAATTTTCTAATAAGGCTTTTCATGATCGTATCAGACCTTGATTAATACTGATATATCTCTGAGCGTTACCATGAAAACTACACAATGTTATTTATTTTAATAATCAACGACTTGCCGAAAGTAGTCAAGATGTCTGCACCATTGTTATTTGCTGATGACCTAAAATTAGTTTGTACAATAAAGGGATCCATCCGGTCATGACTCTTTGCAACAGGATATAGATAGGGTAGTAGAGTGGAGTTTTAAAAATAAATTGTACTTCAACGTAGACAAATGTTCCGTATTATCGTTTAGTCGAGCGCGTAGCCCGAGTCACCATCAGTACTACATGGACAGCATGCCACTGAAACGTGTATCCGAAGTGAAGGACTTAGGCGTGCGCTTCACTACCGATGTGAATTTTCGACAGCATATCGTAGAAGTTTGTAAGAAAGCTTACCGGAATTTGGGCTTAGTTTTACGTCAAGCGAACGAATTCACAAATCTCAGTGCAATAAAAGCTTTATACGAATCCCTCGTAAAAAGCCATTTAGAATGCAATGCTTTAGTCTGGTCGCCACAAGAAGCGAAATATAAATTAATGTTAGAACGCATCCAGAACAAATTCGTGAGATTTATTTTTGTTAAGCAGTATGGTGTGTATCCAGGCTTTCCACTTTTGTACCCTACTCTGTTCACACTAGGCATGACGGGTTATTTTAAATTAGAAGTAAGGCGGGAAGTGTCTCTAGCCACTTATTTATTCAAAGTGATTCGTGGTAAACTAAGGAACCCAGAGATTCTTCACACAGTTCAGTTGTGTGTGCCCAACGAGTACGCGGGGCGACGGAGGCAGCCTCCCCTGTTGTGTGCCGCACGCGCGCACTAACCTGCAGCACTGCGCGCCTCTCACGCGCGCTCAACACGCTGTCTCTGCACATTGACTTGTTTCAATGCACATTGAATGAATTCACACGGGCCGCTTATTGTATACTATCATAAAAATGTTTATTTTTATTTCGTGTTTGTGTGTTTTTTTTTAATTTTTAGTTTTGTATAATAATTGGTTGTATTGTAACTGCTCTATTGTATTAGGTTATACCTGTAATGATAGATGTAAGTGATTATTAAATAAATAAATTAAATAAATTAATGCATATTGTATATACTAAAATATGTTTTATTTTTACTAACAATATCAGCGAACGGTCCCCGTTATGTCAGCAGTACCAATGGTCAAAGTGATAAAACTTGTATCCTTAGTATCATTATCGAAAAGTATAGTTATTCCCTTCAGTGAACAAAGGATTTCCTGTAATTGTAACTGATAAAGATATAACAATACAAAAACATCTTAGTGACTTCATGAGTCATGTCTTCTTAACTTTATTATCAGCCACGCCCTTAAATGATGATGATGAAGCTCGTATTAATTAGTATATAGATTGTTTTTATCGACTTCTGAGCCAATTATGGTTTTATCTCTTTTTACCGAAACAGCCAGAGCGTAGTGGTGTTGGAATCCCGTGATACTGCAGCTCAAGAGTCGAAAACACAATTAAGAAATTAAGCTGTTTCTGGCTATGTCAGTAATTAATATACACATGATTTGAAGTCTAATGAATCGCTTCTACATTTACATTAAAGAAAATTATAAAAACTTAAAAGCTATTAGATAATTCGTCGATAATGAAGGAATCTTACAAAGATTCCAAGACAAGACCTATTGATAATGATCTATACCAAAATAATGATAAGCAAGTTGTTGCGCGTAACTAAGCTAACAAACTATATTATAAGTATAATGTAAATTAAATCTAATTATTTCAAAGAAAGGGTTGCCATTCTATACCTGTACTTTTATTACTTAAATAATATGATTATACGTACCAGTAACCTAAACAATTATAAGGAAAGAAGTTAATTCTTGTTAACTAAGATTTCATCCTTGTCGTCGTTAACTAATCTACTAAATAATATTAAAAATGATAACTGAAAAAAATCATGTATTCAATAAATAAAACAATTTCCGAAAATACAGTCTCCGAAGAATGTATATGAAGGACAATAAACCACGCAGTCAGTTTTTAGAACAAACAAAATCTTTTAATGGAAGTTGAAACAAATATGGGTATAAATTCTTAAAGACTTTTTGCATACACTTTGAAATGTGGGATACTGATCAGTTTTTTTTTATAAAACGATTTTTAGTCTATATCTGCTATGGAAGGGCTCCGATTGTTTAAAGCATTTTTCTTCCTCAAGTATTGCAACACGCTCTCAACACTTATCTCTCCACTAGGCAGTCTTAGCGTTGAATCTGTAAATTATAATGTTCTACTTCACAAGTAACTTTGAAATAACCAATTTAACATTAACGATTAGGCTAAAAGATCAACTTTTAATAAACTACAGCGACCTTTTTGTTTCCTTAAATACCTATGAAGTATTTCAAGATTGAATTTTAATTAGTTAATTACTTTATCAAAAAATATCTAAAGCTTTATTTGAATTATTATTATTTATTCTCATTTGAGAGATAGCCTCTTAAACATGATTTTAGAATTTGAGATTACAGTACCTATTTAATATCATTCACAAAAATCTATTAAAACAAAAATAAAATTAAAAAATACAAAGAACCTGATGATGCTAAAGATGGCAGGTCCGATTTGAAAGAATTTTGGTAGGCGAGAGAACTTCCGTCAACAGAACTGTCAAACGTATAAAAAGCATCACCCATACATTTCGAATCACTGCAAATTAGCAAACAAACAACATCTCTTATGAAAATTTTCCTTATCAATTACTTGAAATACTATTTTCAATTCTAAATTATCAAAATATATTTTTTTTATTTAGGTTTTCAGTCGTGTAAAAGAATAACTACTAACTTGTGCCCATAAAGAAACGACTAAAAAAGTGCATTGAAAACATTCTGTCCATGTTGTACATTATTCCTAGCAGGATGTGCGAAAGACGGAATCTCTTGCGTCTTCGTTTCCGTCAGTAATAAAAATGTGAATACTATCCTATATAACTCTGTATATACAACTGCTTCGCTGTTACAGTGAATAATGTTAATACGAAATAAAAGAACAATATAAAAATTCATTCACCTCGATTCAGTGACATCTAGACTCACACTAACAGTTTGGTAATCATCGTTGACGACAACATCTTCACCCAAAAGCTTATCATTTACCACACCATCGCTATCGGCGTCACTAGTGAACCGAACTTCTGGACTACGTATCGACGGATCGTTATCGTTCAAATCATCATTTTCATCAATAGTGTCCAAATAATCATTGGTCCTACTTATACGAGTGCAATCGTCGTCACAGTTTTCAGTTGGATAGACTAACATTTCGAAATCGTGCTTATCTTCGTTGGCGATTTCGTGAACTTTATCAATTATCTCATCCATTAATTCCGACATAAAATCGCAGTGGTCTTCGCACAGTGAACTGTAATCGTCGAACCTTTTCGGGCCGTCGTATTCGCATGTGATATGACCCTCTTTCGATGTCATTATTATTATTTGTTTGGAAGCGAATGGCTTGAAGCCTGGCGTGCAAAAAGACAAGCGTGTAAATCTGTATAAATGTTTATATGCTATCTAATTAACCGTTTTTTTTTCTTAAGTATTGCTCGAAAATTCATACTAATAATTATAAATGCGGAAGTGTATCTGTCTGTTACCTCTTCAAGCCGCTGAACCGATTTAGTTGAAATTTGGTATAGAGGTAGCCGGAGTCTTGCGAAAGGATATAGGATAGTTTTTATCATAGAAATCGCCCCTAAAGGGGGTGAAAGGGGGGCTGAAATTTGTATGGGAAACAATTTTTTCTGACGAAGTCGCGGGCACAACTGCTAGATATAAGAAGATTTCTGGGATTTCAAAAAAATCATTAGCTTAAAAATATTTCTCTAGGATAACCTATTTCATTAAGAAAGTAATAAGTAAAATAAAAGAAATGATCATTATATTCTACCAAATCTGTTTAAATTAGACAGGACTTAATTAAATGGAAATTTCATAAAAATAACTGCTACTTACTCTTAGTATGTAATTGTATCTTTATTACCTACCTATGCCAAAATAAATGAATGGAAATCTAGGCCCGTATTAAAAGATCGCTCTCAAATCTGAGATCTTGAGATATTGTTTTGTATGACAAACAGTATCTCAAGATCGTAGTCTCAGTGTTGAGTACGATCTATTAACATGGGCCCTAAGAAATTCTTAGAACAAAGTTTACCAAATAAGTTTTCTTTGCTAGTATTCTTCAAAGACATCTTGGATCGCTTTACTCTGGTGCTACGATCCGATATAGTTCGTTCAGGGGACATTGGGCGATGTGTTATTTTAAACGCTTGCGTTATTAAGTATTCCTCCTGGTACTAAATAATAGTGATAGAAGTTAAAATAGTTTTTAAAAAGTTAGACATAGTTAATAATATAGAATAGTCGAGTCATGGCTGTTTATATAAATTTCGACAAAAATGTGTATTTCTGAACGTAACTCATGACCAAGATATAGGTCCAGAAATGTTGCTAAATCTCAATTTAACCAAAACTAGATTTAGTCTATACAATAATGTCAAATTGACCTTGATTTAACATTTTCTATGGGTTAAATGTAGTATTTATTAGTTAAATTAAAGGTAAATTTGACATCATTGTATGTGATGTGAAAAATCTATTTTAGTTAAATCGAGATTTAGCATAATTTCCGCAAGTTGACCTTACAGTGCTAACTTTTGGGACTAAACTAATTTCTGTATGTAAGAAATATTTATGTAAATAGCAAATAAGAAAAAAAATATGACGCACCGACAACTTCATATTCGTCAAGTTGACCATCCTTAGCAAATGTCGCAGCAAAGAACTTGTAATAGGTTTTATCATTTGAGCCGCTTTGGGTCCAGTGGCTGATAGGATAGCCCTTATATGTCCATACAATAGAGCATCTAATGGAGTGGGTCTGTAGGGACAACGGGAATAAAAAGTTTAGGGTTGGGGGACAGTGGGAAAGGGAGGGAAATTTTATTGTTTTAAGTGGGAAAGGAGATAACAACTACGATTTATAGGGTTATAGGAGAGAAAAACATAACTTTTTATTGTTAAAGCTGTAAAATCAAAAGGTACAAAACAGGATACAGAATGGCAATCTTAAATAGTTTAAAATTATATCAGGCCTTATTACAAAACGCCGACGACCATTAAGTGCGGCCTTAACACCATGCTTTTACCTTAGGTTTAAGTACAAATTTATAACAAGTTTTCTCTATCAAGTTCAATAGGGCAAAACGAAATCAAGTAGGAAGATGTTCAAACGTTTTATTTTTATTTTATTATTATTATGAGATGATAAATAGATCGAGTGTAAAGAAATAAGGACTTACGTCCCAAAGAAGTAGTCTCTGTCTCCAAGGCGTTGACTGAGTGAACTACAACATTGCTCCACCTAAAACAGTCAAATTCCAAATATCAGAACCTATCTAAAATAGTAAATTTTCACTATGTTTTGTATAAACCCTCTGTAGGATGGCATATCCGTGATGCGTGAGCTACACAAAGAAGACGCCTTAGTTAGCCACTACCATCAAGATATTATGTCAATGATTATTGGACGATGATTACCAGGTACCTACTAGAAGAATACCTTACATTAAAATTTTAAAGGTTTGAAAATTTAGCGAGCCAATCTCTTTGTATAGTTTTATATCTTTACTTTTTCATCTGTCACCGTCATTCGCTGTAAATATACCTAGTTCATACACGTTACCAAATAATCGGTTGAATTTATCATTTACCTCGTTATAATCCCTGATCTCCCTCCATTATGTTAGGCCCAACTTGCACCAAAGTTCTTAAATCAAATTTCATAACTGTTACCCCCTTATTAATAAACGAAGAATAAGTTTGTTCATAGAACGACAAATGGCATATGATGGAATGACATGAACAAAACACGGCGTAACAAATCTTAGCTTATTCCTTGTTTATTATTAAGGGGGTAATTCTTATTCTATCTCTATTTAACTTTAAACAAGGAGGAACTTTATTCAAAGCTAATTGCTTTTCTTTCGTTCTCTTTTTAAAACCTTAATTTGAATCAAAAATTTTGGGCAAGCAAGTGGCCCTGACCACTTAGTCGTAATACTTAAATAGAAATACAACTCAAACTCACATCAGCTAGCACTTGTTCCAGTGTTTTGTCGTGCCAATTCAAAGCTTTCAAACGTTTAGCTACAGCATTCCTCTTGGCCCTGGTTTGAAGCCATCCAAGGGGCCAAGGATACACTGACGAGTTACGCACTTTAGTGACGGCGTTGAAGGTTTCTTCATCCAACCAGGATATGTAGAGCTAAAAAGCAATAATAAAAACTGCAAAAGATATAAAATTGACGCAACTAATACTGTAATTGTTATTTAAAAATGTGGATATTTAAAAAAAATATAATAGCTTAATGAGAATAACAAATATTGTAACCCAGAACTTGAAGACTATTTTTCACAAACTATTTTACATCCTATTGATATTCCCGTTGGCCCCTAGGGGCAAAGCCACAGCAGTTGCTACACAAATCTATGTATCTAATGTTATTAAAATTTCCATTGTTTAATTTTGCTTTTGTCTGTCATTTTACAGCTGTTCTTACTCCATTGGTAGTGATTTAATAGTTTATAAGTAAGTCTTACCTCTGCATTGACCAAAACATTGGTTATAAGACTCATGTAGGCCCTCATTTCTGCTTTTTCTTCCGTACTGAGTCGACCACACAATGTGACGCCCTTGTTGGCCGCAAACTGTACGACAGGTTCCAACTCGGACACAACGAAGGCACCGCACTTAATGAAAGGCACCCGGCCCGAAGGCGACATGAATTCAGCATTCCAACGCATCTCCACTTCGAATGGGAGATTGCAAATCTGAAAATAATCATACACACAATAATACTTTTGACATATCAATTGGCAAAGCATCAGAGAGGTAAATATATGTTGGTACTTATAAAGTAGGTTCAGTCTGTGATTGTGGAAGTTAAGTATCTGTAGCAATAAGCAGACAAAGGATGTGTGACCATAAATTTATAATCTCGTCTTTGTGCTTTAGAGCATGTTAAGCTGTTGATCCTGGATGTGATCTGCAGTATTAGAACCCACCAATACGCTCTGGACCCCATGGTTGGGTCGGTGATGGTTTAATCTCCCTATTTCATCTGTAGGGAAGGCATGTGCCCGAGCACTGACGACATCAATAGGCTCATGATGAATAACTCCGTCACACTGGACTGGGAGCTCTGGTAAACTATTGTCTAAAAAAATCAAATCATATAAGGAAGACTATGGAATATACAATATTGGATAAATACTTTTAGTCTCCAGACAAAATAAGGAGAACCGAACCTTCAGGAAAGCCTGGACGGCTAAGCAGCTTGCATTATCTGGCAGAAGTATTTGCTCTACCTCGTATGGCTGAAACAGCTTTACATTTTCTGGCCATGGTTCCTGAGCTGAAAATGAACTGGTTTTATAATACCTGATGCGGATGAATAGTCAATAAGGATCATTACTAGGTCAGCAAATCAACTCAAAATCAACAGTATAATTATCTAATAAGCTTTTTAAGTAATATTACTTTTTGAATCATCGAAATCGGTTCATTTGTTGAGATTATATAACTAGTTTTATGGTAGCCAATATTCACTGGCTGTCGAAACGTGTGAAGTCACAGAGCTCGATTGTGGTTCACTCTGGTCGAACTTTAGTAGGGTCTATATCCACACTAGAGCTCTGCGACGTCACAGTCACCATGCGGCCAGTCGAAAAAACGTTTAGTGATTTCGTCATAACTTTGTCAATATTTGTCGTAGAACAAAAATTTTACCACTGTATTTTATGGAATCGTTATCTCTTTAAATCTGCATTCTCAACTAAAATCGTTACAGATCCTCAGTATTCAAACTCAAATGACAAAAAGAAGTGCTTCTGTTAAATGGCAAAAACCACCATAGCATATCAAAAGGCAATGAAAATGAATGAAAACATACTTTATTCAAATCAACTTATAACAAAGATCTTTTGAATCATCTAAATTGTTATCCTACCACCCATTAAGGACATGTTCGAACTGATAACAAGAATGGGCCAACTCTTCAGCATATCACAGAAGTTGCAACATTTACCTTAAAAATATGTTACAATATTAATAATTGTTCACTGGCATTTTCATTGCTGTATCAAACATCATTTGTTCAATAATTTCACCTCACAATTTTATTTCTAAAGTTCAAAATTTCTGTTGTTTAGCCGAAAGACAAATGCCTGATTTTGTTTATTATAATATTTTTATTATTGTCAAAATTGTGATACAATGTCTTATTTTTTTTATCAAACTAACCACCATTGTCTATTACTTTCTCAAACTATAACAACCTGACAGACAACTCTAACAAATGAAGTTCTATTTTGATACCTGTATGACTGATTTATGATTTTATTTAGTAGATACCAAACCAAACATTATTAAGCCGGATATTGGTCAAGTACTGAGGGAGCCTTCACTGAAGAAATCAATCAATCAAACCACACTATATCCTTTATTCTAAAAGAGTTAAGTTACACAGTGGTGTCGATTCTGGCATGATACTCTAAACTTAAAACTAAAATTAACATCAGTCACTCCTTTTCATTCTGTATAGAGAATGACAAGGATACACTGTTGTCAAATTTAAGTTTAGATTTAGAGAATCATGCCAGAATCGACACCAGTTTTTAGTCAAATTCTGGGATAAAAATAAAAATAAGATGAATCTTTATACATTCATGTATATCTTCACAAACAACATATTTAGTTTATTTGTTTAAAAAAATGTTATTATTAATCAAAGTTAGGTTATGATGATATCTGGTGTCTTCAATCCAGACATAAAACGATTATGATCAGATAGTAATATTTTGTTTATTTTGTTATTATACAATGTACATGACTTTAAAAAAACCACACTGCAGCAGAAATACCAAAGTCGAGATTTCCTTCCTTCATTTTAACAATGTTTGAATGATATTATTTGAAGATTCACACAATCGGAGGTTCACAGCGATGATAAATACGCGTATGTAGGGCACCTTGTATCTAAAATTACGCGATTGTCTCATACAAACATTGAAATACTACTAAGAAATATCAATTATGTAATTCATCCCATTGATCATATGCTGGTATAATTTTAGTTTAAATCTGTCTTACCATTGAGAGACGTGATGATAGAATCTGTTAACGACAGTTCAGGCATTTTTGTAATAGAACACTATAAATATAATGAAAATACTTCTATTTTCAATAATTCAAATCAAATGTTTTCAAATCGTAAAAGAAAATTAATATCCATTCGGCGTTGGCCGTTTGACAGTGACACTGACAGAGAGCATTTTTTAGTTAAGATTCTCCCTTTTTAGAGAAAGCAAAGGAAACAATGCCCATACAGCCTAGTTTTTATTAAAGTGTGCGTGTGACGTATTCTAATGTTTCGTGGAGTGTTTGGCACGAAATTTATCAGATTGGCTTTTTCGATAAGCTTCTGTGAGGTAGTTAACACAACAATAAACTTCTCACGTCCACTTGACCGGAATAGCATATATTTTAAAGATTCCACTAATTCTTCAATTGCGCAGACTGTTGTAACACAAAATCACACCAATTTTATTTCACAATATCCAGAATACCTACAAAATTCTGACGCTCCTAAAAGTAAAAAAAATATACTGAAAAGTATTGTAATACTGAATCTGGTCACACTGACACCAGCTAACAGTAATAGATTGTGTATATATTATATTCTTCCATTCAGAAAGGCAAAGAAATCAATGATGTCTACTCTGGCATAATTTTCTATACATCAGTCTCTCCTTCTCAATCGTATAGAGAATGACAAGGACACACGATTGTTAAATTTAATTTTAGGTTTAGAGAATTATGCCAGAATCGACACCAGTATATTGTTACTTTCGAGCCACTAAAAATTTATACATAATTTTTTGCACATGTGCAATCAATGTGCAATACTTTTCAGTGCTTTAGGTGCCTCCTTAACAAACAAGAGAAACTAAACTTAAATTTGACAACAGTGTATCCTTGTCGTTATTTAATATATGTCGAATAAAAAGGAAAAACTGATGTTAAGTATTTAATTTATAGAATCATTCCAGAATCGACACCAATGTGTAATATTAAATTACAATTTATCTTTATGTTCTCTAAGAATAGGGGCGGCCTAAGGGTACGGCCAGTGTGCACTCACATTCAGATTACGCACGCGAGAAATGTACAGTGTAGTTTAAGCAGGTTGCCTGCTGTCACTATGGCCACTCTGCTTAAACTACACTGTATATTTCTCGCGCTTGTTTTCTGAGTCTAAATCTGAATCTGAGTGCACTCTGGCCGTACCCTTAGGGTGCGGCCAGAGTGCACTCAGATTCAGACTCAGATTCAGATTTCGAAAACAAGCGCGAGAAATAAACAGTGTAGTCTAAGCAGGTTGCTTGCTTCTCGCGCTTTGTTTTCTGAGTCTGAATCTGAATCTGAATCAGGAGTGCAATCTGGCCGTACCCTTCGACTACACTGTTTATTTCTCGCGCTTGTTTTCAGAATCTGAATCTGACTCTGAATCTGAGTGCACTCTGGCCGCACCCTTAGGCATTATGAGGTCTCTGGTTGGTTGAACTTCGTCAAAAGGGTAGATTAAGAATTCGTTAGATAAGTAAGAATCTAAGGAAGTAGAATATTTTGAGGTTTTAAACAGCACATTCTTCTTACTTGTGAGAATGGCACTGGTTACATTATCAAAAATAATATGACATAGTTGCTAAAAATGGTCCTCAAACCAGAAAAGCTCCCAATCATAGATGAATAATTGATCATTTAGACCAATCATTCATCTATGCTCCCAATGATGAGTAGTTAGATGTATTACATGGACCCTAAAAAGACGAGAATATTCACTTCACAGTTAAACTTACCCATTTGTATGAGCCTGGTTATGTTATCACCAACGCAAGCAACGTTTTTATTTAATAAATTAACACCAAACGCAAACTCGTCGTCATCAAAAAAATCAAAAGGTCTTTCCGCTGATTCGGGCTTAGCTTCATTGGTTATGTTCGACTTAGAATGAACTAAATCAAGATAATCGTTAAATATAGATTCGCCAACTCCACACGGAGGTGATGGTGATCGTGGTGTGTCCATAGGAGATTTATTTGTCCAATCTGCTGATATAGAAACTCTGGTTTTTGACTCTTTGTATTCCTTATCCCAAACATGAACACTCATTTTTAATTTAAGAGTTGTCTCCAGGAAAATGGAGACATTTATTGCGTCAAAAAGTTATGGAAATGGAAGTCACTTAAATGTCGCTCGTGACAACTTATCAATATTTTTTGAAGTGAAAACTTTTTTACGCACGTCAGGCATATTTTGAGATAAGTAAGCGTAAGTGTCCGTTCACATAGATCGGCGCGGGCAGGATTGGAGCGCACTTTTCTTTCCACATCGACCGAACCGGCGCGGCGGCGCGGACTAAATGCTTGAAGCCAACCAAGCTGTTAGACTAGGGAGAGCATAGTTTGGATGCGAGCGTTTGGAGTCAGACGGATTCGTCTGGCTCTTTCAATGTGAAACGGCTCCGAGCGTATGTTATAACGTATGCTTTTAAATTGAAACATGGATTTACGATGAACAAATATATTTATTACCAAGATTACTTGAAGCAGAACACCAACAAACGAAAACGCAAACGGGGTGTCCTTAATATTTGTGTATAAGTTAAGGCGTAGCTTTCATTTTTAATGTGTGTTATGTTATGGGTTAGTTTTGTTTACACCGGTTCTTTTACTGAAACGATATGATGCTTTTTCTGCTTTTTTCTGTTCTGTGGCCCTACCTCTTTTGATCTGTTATCCTATTAGAAAGGGATAATAAGGCCTCTGTTCTCTATCTTTTCGCTTTTTATCGGTAACAGTACAGTATTCGTCGCGTTTTATCGGTAACAGTACAATCGTACAATGTACTTTCTCCTTCTATCTCGCCAAAGTATGTCCATGATTCAACCAAATTTGTTTGACAGTTGTACACGCCGCGCCGCTTCACTACGGAGCATAGACTAACTAAACCACAGATTACTAAGAGATACGACTAAACAATTTGTGTTGTGTGTGTAGGAGTAAGTAGTGCACCAATAAAATTTTGTGAATTTTCGCGTAACTAAAAGCTATTTCAACTCCAACAGAAATCATAGATTTATCCGATAAGTTAGAAAGACTTATAGAAAACAATGGCAGACGTGTTAGACATCGAAAATTCGGAGGAATTCGAGGTTGACGAAGACGGTGAACGTAATTATTATTTTCTTGAATAAAATTGTTCTAATTGCACTCTTTTCATTAGTTATCATTAGTACTCGTTACACTTGGTTGATTGATATTTATTGCCAGGGATATTTCTTTTAATTGACATCGGTTCTGTTAAATTAAATTTTCAATTTCACTTGTTAGTAAGTTTGAGGTTATAGCGAAATGTTTGATGTGCAGCCTACTTTCTAAATCTTAATGTATCTAGTGCATATGAATCTTAATTCTGCATAAAACAATATTTAGAACTATTCGATTTTTAGAAAAAACCTATTTCTTTTTTGTTATTTTTCAGAGGGAATTGCTAGGTTGAAGGAAAAGGCGCGTAAACGCAAGGGCCGTGGTTTCGGAAACGAAGGTGGAGGCGGAGGTGCCTCCGAGAGAGGCAGCAGGGGAAGGTAATTTGTGCTGTTAAAACAAATTGCAAGACAAGCCACTCAATGTCAGTTATAATAAAGGCTCAAAACATAGATCTAAAAAAGATGAAGAAGACTTTTTTCCAATGAGATTCAGGATATTAAACCTTAAACATGTTATTAAAATAACTACTGGAATCAGTATAAAATTGGGTATTTTTCTAGTTATCCTTAATTTTGACCCTGATACAAATATGGGATAAATGAGGGATAACAATAAAATATGTGAATGATATTAAATTGAGCTTTAAACAGCTGTTTAAATATGTACTAAGCTTCTAGAAAGCTACCAGGCTAACATCGCCTTCTGACTCAATCCTTGATATATCCTTATTTTCTTTGGAAACTTAAGATATTAATAGTGAAAAAGCAATATTGTTTATACTTTATTTCAGTTTATATTTAAAGTTAAATTTTTAAGCAGCACCAAAGTGGTGTATAAGTGATTTTGCATGTCCACTGTTGTTAATAACTTAATACAATATTTATGTTTCAAACCATCTTCAATATCTATACAGATATGACAGTCTCGCGCCAGAAGGTGATGGTAGCACACCAGGTCCTCAAAGGTCAGTCGAAGGGTGGATACTGTTTGTCAGCAATGTACACGAAGAGGCCCAAGAAGAGGACATACAGGTTCGTAGAACTAATTGTTACTCATTAGTTCAGAACCTAAATGTTTCACATCTTTTAATGTATAATTGACTATACCTATAATTTGTGTCTTCAGTCATCGAAACATCAGTAACATAGCTAAAAGTAACTTTACAATTAAAAGAAAAAATATATAGAAAGCAGCATTTAAAACCAGATATTCTTATATTTGTTTCTTAGGTTTTCACACACACCACTTATTAAATGAAAAAAGTTTCACTGGTATACTGATTTTATTTATTTATTGATGTTCTGCATCATGCATTCTGCAGTGATAAAAAAAACTAATGAATTTTCTTATTGGTTTCAGAATCAATTCTCAGAATTTGGCGAGATAAAAAATATCCACTTAAACTTGGACAGGCGTACTGGTTTCCTCAAAGGCTATGCCTTAGTAGAGTACGAGACTTACAAACAAGCAGCTGTAAGTACGACAAATCTTTGATGCCTTCACATGGCTATTCGTCTTATTGACAGCAGGTTGTCCTTATCATACCCTACAGGGAATGAAAAGGAGATACTGTTGTTAAGTTTACAAATAGCAGATACGAAAAACCCTGTGAATTGCTGTCATGAAATAATGACTAACATAAAGTGGAGCTTGAGATATATAAAATTTGTTATTTTCTTTTCATAGAGTGCCCGTGAAGCTCTGAATGGTGCTGATATACTGGGACAGTCGATATCAGTGGACTGGTGCTTCGTCAAAGGCCCTACAAAAGGACACAAGAAGAGGCGATAGGACCAAATGTACTATAAAAGTGTTGCATCTAGTACTTTTAATTGTAATAAATTTCAATGGTTTTGGAATGTTGAATTTCCAAGTTTCCAAGAGTAAAATATAAAAATATTTTTAGTTTGCGGTGGCAGTGAAATCTCTGTAATTTTATTATTACACACTCAATTGGCTCAAAGTGAATTTAAAAATGGACTTGTGATGCTATTATACATTTTCTCATACAAATGTTACCACTAACAAGTAACATTCAATCATAGCTACGCATAGTTAAACAATGTTGTCTACATCCTCAACATAGCCCTTAATAAAATAATGTTTATTCTGAATAAAAAATGTGCATACTATCTAATTCCTAAATGGAATCCTTTTTATGTTATTTGATTAATACCTATTGACCTAGGAAAAAACAACACCTATCTATATCAATTCATGCTGAGCTATAGCAAAAGAATGACTGATAGATATTGAGACTATATCCTTGCTTGGGTCACAATACTACCGAGTGTGCTTATTCAAAAAAATGGATCAAAGAATATATAGTCTACTAGCAAACCAGTGAACCAAATGTTCACCAAAACCTGATTTAAAAAAAAATGTATTTAATTAATTGAGAACTTCGGAGATTTTGTGTGGTTTCGTTTGAAATTCGTGATTTCTCGAAAACCGGAAGTGCTAACTTGTGACTATAGACTAAGCCCGAGACAAACCGCACTAATATATAAATAACTATTTGCAAATAAAATATTGAGAAACCTTTGAGATATCAAGTTCCATGTTGGGGTGTCTTGAAAGTTATTTTAAGGTAAAAATATTAATATCTTTTAAAAATGATGATTGCGTCATATTAAACAAAAAAAGTGCTTGTCGCAACACTGATTCTAGATGTAATTTGCTAATATATAAGCTATCTTTATTGAAAGAGAGTTGTTTTATTTAATTACTTTTGTTTCTGTTTCTGTTTTACTACACATATACATATATATACTACCGGCCGCCCGCGACTTCGTTTCGACTCTCCGTTTCGGTTCGTGGAGTTAGTTAGAAATATAAAGGTTCACTGCTCGTTCCCCGTAGGTGATAGCGTGATAATATGTAGCCTATATGTTGACCCGACTTCTTAATAATATTCGTGCCGAATTTGAAGTAAATCCATGCAGTACTTTTTGAATTTATCCCGAACATACAAACACAAAAAATCTAAAAACTATATATTTGGTTTCGGTATCGATTGCTCATCACACCCCACAGTGTTTTATGGAACCAAAAAAATTTACACCTTAAGATTTTTGCATAAATCAATTATTTATACCCTAATAAAGGCAAGAGTTCAATTCTCAGATCACTATTTCCAGTAAAAAAAAAGATATGAAGTAGCAAAGTTTTTGAAATTTGAGCATTAAAAAATTAACAATTTAATTTCCTCAAAAGACGGTTCCATATCTGTACATGAGATATTTGCCACTTGATAAGGAATTATTGAAGGCATAATTTTGCAAATTTATTTTATTTATAAGTGTCCTAGTTTCCGAGAAATATATTTTTTTTTAATTTCGATTTTTAATTTTTTTCTCCAAATATCGGCAAAAGTGGAACCTGGATTTAGTACAGAAAGGTTCTATAAGCCAAGTTCTATCACCCATAAAAAAATCAGGTTTCACTTTTGCTGTTTTAAGAAGTTATGACAGAATTTAGATAAAGGTCAACTTTCATGATCTAGGATTGTCACAAAGGTCAACTATGAGTTAAATGAAAATGTTAAATTTTTTGTTTGTTAATTAATACCGTCAATCAATTGAATAAATAAACAACACTTGTGGACGAATATAATATACTTACATATACTAGGTACCCACCTAATGTAGATGTGATAATGTAGGAATACTTTATGTTTGTTCGACCACATTTTAACTTTGTACCTTACACGCTAAACGGTAACGAAAAAATGAACTATGTTGCTTGAAAAAAATTTCAAAATTCATTCAGAATCATTCAGGCATTCGATCAGAAAATAAAAACAAATCTTGGGCATAAATCAGTTAGTAGGTGTAACTATTATTGTTACAAAAAAAAACGTAGAGGTAAGCAGGCATGAACTTGTGTCTAATTGGGTCTCCAAAACACACACAAAACAAACAATTAATAGTTAATACTCAGACCCGAAAACGAAAATCGATATTCATTATAATGACTTCCGCCTTGACTAGGAATCACCATAAGCGTTCCTTTTTTGCAAATAGAGCTTGCAGCCCATAAAAATATGTTAAAGGTACTGTAGTAAGTTCCTAAAATCTACATTATTGTAAACTCGTTCAAAACTAATACACAAATTTATATTTTAAAAATTTTCGTTCGAGGTCAGGTTCGATGTCAACCCTAGCATAAAAATTTTAAAAATGAATATCTTCTAATCGCCGCAAAAGTGACACGTGGCTTATTTATGTATGAAAGACCACATCCATAGGTTTATTTCTATCGAAGTTCTAGGTTCCACTTTTTCGTTTTTAGGGAGAAAAAACAATAAATACGAAATACAAAAAAAAAAAATTGCTGCTCCCAAACCAATGCATTTTTTTAAAGAAACGCGTTTATACGCCTCTGATTATGCCCGATTGACACATATTTATTAAAAAAATATATTGTTAATATTCACTTTATAAAAAAATATTCTAGATTTCATAGGTCAAAGGTCACGATAAGTTCATGATTTTTTTTCTCAAAAAGTATTTGAGTTAGACTTCTGGGAATTGAACTCATGCCTTTTTTAGGGTATAAATAATCTATTTATGTAAAAACCTGAACATGTAAATTTTTTTGGTTCCATAAAACACTGTGCACCCCAAGCATTCTTTAAAAAAATATTCAATGTACAGTTTTGACTTTCCTACCATTTTATTATAAGTATAGATATAGTCGTGGACGCTCTTCGCATTTCCGTTTCATCTTTTCCATAGGAGTTTATCATTTACACCCCTACCGAAAAGAAGTTTCTCTTAAAAAAATGTAAAACAATTTTTCGACCACTTGTTACCTGATTCAGCTGAAACTATTGGTACATAAATATGTATTTAAGGCAATAATACGGTACCTTGTAGCTGATCTGATGCTGGAGCTGGAAGGTTGCTAGAGGAACTTGTAATGAAACGACGCAGCCCTATCAAGTTTGGGTTCGTTTGGTTCGTCTTGACGAGTACTTTGTCTTCAGATGGTTTCCAGGGTCTGATGATAGATCTGGAAGGTGACCATAGGAATTCCTAAATTAAATGACACAGACCCATCGAATTTGGGATAGTTTGGTTCGTCTTGACTTTGGTCCTAGATGATATCCATATGCAATCCCATCAGATTTGGACCTCCCCTGGTAGGATGGGCTGTTTATATCAAAATGTGTGAACAGCATAATTAAAAAGAAACTAGGTACTTCACAAAGAAAACGACGTTCAGTACCCCTAGCACGAACCGTTATCGAATTCGAATAGTTTGTTTTCTATTCGAAATTTTGTATGGAAACTTGAACAGCAGCGCCATAAACTACGTAACGAGAACTAAAAATCAGTACCTACACATTTGAAAATGACATTTCGCACTCGCAAACTTTACGAATTCGATATTGGTTCGTGCTAAGGGTACAGAGAGCGAATTGATAAATACTAAAAAGTTATAAATAAAAAAACATTAAGAAAATCAAGCTTTTATTGCTTGTTTATAAAAAGAACTAAAAAGATGAAAATAATTTACGTCTGATAAGAAATATACCTACCATGTTACCGGTAAATTACATATTTTTTTTTAATAAAAGCGTGTTACAATTTGTTGGCATGAGAAATAAAAAGGCTGTAACGCGCTTTTATTTAAAAATTGGATATTATGTTATAATGTACCTGTAAAATGGTATGTTTATTCTTATTAAATTACCTATATTTCCGGATCTTGATTTTAATTTATATGTGTTTTTGTCTTTGTAATGTATAAATGAAACCTATTGCTCCTTTTCTCGAGACTTAATAGATGTGAAATTGTTATAGAAAGTACAAACACCGTAGTACAAACTCCAAACATGATTTTATAAAACTCGCGGCTCCTGCCTACTGAGGATTTCGCAAGTACCAACAAGATTCTATTAACCCTTAACTTTAAGCAAAGTCAACTGGAAAAAGAATTGTTATTTTTTTATGTTATAGGAATGGCAAATAAGCTTACGGCTTGGCAGTAAGCGGCCACCATATCATATCCTATAAACCATGGATGGGCAAAGGATTTCCGTAATTACAATCGTGCCAATATTTACAGTCAGAAATTGTGGCGGGCCATGTTTTTGCCAATTTAAAAAAAAAATATTTCACACCAATTAGCCTAGCTCCGAAGTAAGCACTCTAGGCTTGTATTATGGGATACTAGGGTAACGGATAGAATACATATACCTACTGATTACTGATACAATTAAAAGTATATTTATATGACACTGGAGTATAATAAATGCTCTATATAAATAAATGCTCGCAGTCATCATACAACCATCTGCCCCCACCGGGATTCGAAACCAAAACCTCTCGAGAAGGCGACACATTGAAACCCGGCGTACAAACCACTCGGCCACGGAGGTCGTCTGGTCAATAAAAATAGCTCAGTGACTAATGCCCCTAACCCTGTAGCACAGCAACGGGGTAAATACGCCCTTGAGTTCGCTGCGAAATAAATAGGTAGGTACTAGGTTCGGCAGCGGGGTGGTCCTTGTCGGAACATGGCATGGGAAAACATGGTAATTTTTGTTGCTATGGTCGAGCGCCGGACTTAATCTTTCGAGGGCCAGAGATAGCTCGCGGTCCGTAGTTTGCCCAACTATGCTATAGACCCTGGGTTTAATTACCCCTCCGGGGGTAAATCAGCCATACTTCGGGGGTAACAAAGAACCAAATTATTTGGTCAAATCTAAATAATAAGAAAATACTATATAATAACACTACTAAATAGAGCATGCGCTCCTTCTTGCTAGCGAGACCGCGGGA